AGGCCGGCTTGGACTCGCGCCCTCGCGTGGGTGGCGGGTGCTGTGGCGGGTGCTGTGGCTGCTGGGACTGGCGCTGCGCTGTGACCCAAACCCACACGCAGCCTCTCCCTACGGCCCGGACTTCCTCCAGGTGCTGGCTGCATGCCAGGGCCGGGGTCCGAGCAGGCGGCACGGCACCCGCCTTAGGACCAGCCTGGGAGCCACACGTGCCGCTGTCAGGCGGCCCCGGGCGGGAGGGAGGCACCGCCTGCGTCTGTCGTCACGGCCATTTGTCAGACACTCAGTCGGCCCCGGCGGCCGCTGTCCCCTCTCTGAGTGCCGGGAAAGCTACCACGTGACACGGACTTGGCAGGACCTTACGGTGATTTTTAAAACCTTGCCTCAGACGAGAGGAGCCGGGTGCGCAGGGGCCGATGGCGAAGCCTCGCCCGGTGCCCGCCGGGTGTGCCGCCCGCAGCCTCTGTCCCCGCACCAGGTCAGCCTGGTGCTGAGCGCCCCGAGCCGCCGGGCCCTCCCGAGCGGCCCTCCATCAGCCCTGGCCCACCTGGCCTGCTCCGGGAGGACATGGGGTCCAACTCTGCGGAGTCAGTGCACAGCCTGACAGCCAGGGAGCCGGCGGGCACTCCCCGCGGCCGCGGCCGGGCCCCCGCGGACCTGTCTGTGACGCACGCTCTCCTTCAGCATCTGGGCTGGTGACATTTTTACTCCAGTTTTTTCCCTTGCTCTAAGTCAGTCATGAACTCTAACACTTAGCTGTGCACGGAGAGGTCACGAAATACAAGGAGAGAAATAATTGCAGTCTAGAGCATGACCTTGGCCCTCAGGGGCTTTCAGAATTATTTTTGAAACAATATTTCTAGGCCTTCAAAAGTTACACCTTTTTCTGGGCAAATTTAACTGTCTTCATGCCTCCTGTGTGCAGTGCCGAGCACTCAGTGCTGTGCTCTGAGAGCCGGCTCTGAGGGGCCTTTGTTCCTCTCAGCTGCCCCGGGTCCCTCCTGCCGGCCCCGACCCCCTCTCCAGCTGCATGCGGATGTGCTTTATACCCAGGAGGCCGACGGAGAGGGCTTGTAACCACCGTGCACGTAAACTAAACCGGATAACGTCAGTCTGGCCGGAGAAAGGGCCCACACGGCCCGTGGGACCCGCTCCCGTCCCCGTTGTGACAGGCCGCAGGCCCCTCCGCCTGGCCGGGCTGTCGGTGCGGAGAGGGCTGGTCCCGCCCGCTGGCTGCGCCGAGTGTGCAGCGAAGGGAGGTGGGCGGTGGCAGGTGTCTGGCCGTCTGCTCTGCCGGCGTGTTCCTGGTGGGTCAGAACCAGCGCACCTTCCTGCGGCCACCTCCCGATGCAGCCGCCTCCGTGCAGCGGCCGAGCCTCCCGCTTCCCACAGAGGGACCCGTGCTTGCTTCTCTGCCCGGTGGCCGCACCGGGATCACGAGCGACCCCAGGCCGGCCGGAGCCCCCAGCGCCTGCCGTCCTTGGCTCGGGGTCCTGCCTCGGCTGCATGCTCAGGCTGTCGGGGCCCAGAGAAAAGGACGCCAGTCGGTTGGGTCCCTCCCTGGAGTAGAGCCCCCCCCCCCCCACCCCATCATAATGGTCCCCCGGCTCCCGCGCTCCAGGGACACAAGATGCAGGACTCTGTCTGCAGGGCGGGGGCTCACCCCCGGCTGGTGCCCTGGCTCCTTCCTTCCTCCCTCTTCAACACTCGGACCTCCTGATGCGGGGCCCCAGACACATGCCCCCTCCCCTTCCCTGACCTGGAGCAGAGCGTAGCTCAGCGTCAGAAGGACAAGTCCCCAGGAGACACCCTCAGGTCTGCAGCCAGAGCGCGTCTGCCATTTGCAGCACACGGCCTGGCACCGCGCAGCTTCTGTGCTACCCCCGGCCTCCCGGCGTCTGCGTCAGCCTCACTCAGGGCCCGGGCCGCTCCGATGAGCTTCCCCTCAGACCCTGCACGCCCCCCTCAGCAGAGCACCCTCCTCCATCCCTCCCTCCCTCCCACTCGGCACCTCCACCTGCTCCTCACCTGCCAGCTGCGGCTGTGGGCCGGCTGGTGTGCGAGCCGCCCCCCGAGGGGTCACTCCGGTGCCAGCGTGGGGAGGGCCCGCCTGCGGGGCTGCGGACGGGCAGGGGGAGCGCGCCGCGCGTGCTGGCGGCGATGAGTCACGGCTCTGGCTGCGCGCCCGCTGCCCGCGGAGCGGCGTTTCCTTAAACGGAGGACCTGGGCCTATTTTCAGCCCGCGTGGGATCTGGGGATTTTGTGGCCCTTAGCTGCACTGCAGACAAATGAAGACATCTCAGACGTTTCATGACGCGCGCGCGCGTGTGTGTGTGTGTGTGTGTGTGTGTGTGTGAGTGTGTGTGTGTGTGTGTAAGTGTGTGTGTGTGTGTGTGTGTGTGAGTGTGTGTGTGTGTGAGTGTGTGTGTGTGTGAGTGTGTGTGTGTGTGTGAGAGTGTGTGTGTGTGTGTGTGTGAGAGTGTGTGTGTGTGTGTGAGTGTGTGTGTGTGTGTGAGAGTGTGTGTGTGTGTGTGTGTGTGTGAGTGTGTGTGTGTGTGAGTGTGTGTGTGTGTGAGTGTGTGTGTGTGTGTGTGTGTGTGTGTGAGTGTGTGTGTGTGAGTGTGAGTGTGTGAGTGTGTGAGTGTGTGTGTGTGTGTTTGTGTGTGTGAGTGTGTGAGTGTGTGAGTGTGTGTGTGTGAGTGTGTGTGTGAGTGTGTGTGTGTGAGTGTGTGTGTGAGTGTGTGTGTGTGTGAGTGTGTGTGTGTGTGTGTGTGTGAGAGATTTCCTGGCGCTCACTCCCCGCGCCTCCGCTCCAGCGTGGCACCTGCAGGCCGCCCGGAGCCGCAGCGGGCACGTCCGGTCTGAGTGACAGGAGGCAGGGCCGTGCCAGCCCCTGGGCTCTGCGGAGGGCCCGGGGGCCGCTCTGATGCGCGTGCGGACAGCAGCTGTCCCTGGGACCCGGCCGTGGCCGCTGCCCTGTGGGTCACGCAGTGGACACTTCCGGGGGGGCCGGGGCGGATGCGCTCCGCCCGCTGAGAGCTTTCTGGCCTGTGTTCTGGCGCATGTCACAGCCCTCTGTGCCCCGGATCCAGACACCGGCTGACCGTGGGCGGCAGAGAGGCCTGAGTGACCGGGAGCTAAGGCATCCAGACCCGAGTTCCCGTGAGGAGCTTCCGGTGGGCCGACCGTGCACTCAGCTCGAGTTCAACAAGAAAGTGCACCCCGCACCCGGAGCGCCCTGCCTGAGGGAGGGACAGAGCCTCCCTGGGCAGGTCCCCGCACGCACACACTCGGCCAGCTTCTGGCTCTAAGGTCCTTTCACTCTAGAGGGGCCGCCTCCTGCCCGGAAGCTGGGGTTCGGGGGAGCACGTGGGGCAGAGATGGCTCCTCCTCGGCCTGCAGCCTTAAGTAAACACCTTGGGGAGCCCCATGGCGGGCACAAAGCCGTCACCGGCCTCTCAGCCTCAGGGCGGTGTGGCTGCGCACGGGCGTCGCTCCCCTTGATGGCTGGCTCCGTGCTGCCTGACGGAGGGCACTGTTCAGGCCTGTCCTGCCGCAGCGCGATGCTGCTGCCCGTTCGAGCTCCCCCCTCCGCTCCTGGCGCTCCTGGGAAGACACTGGGGTCCCTGTGGAGAGTGGCTGCCCTGGCTCTCCTGCACGGCCTCGCCTGTGCATGCCGGGGGCTGGGCCCAGGCCCCTTCCTGCTCACGCCGCCCTCCCCAGGTGCCCTCACCGACGCTGCTTCAGTCACCACGTCTGTCCCCCCCACTGCCCCCTCGAGTTCGGGACCTCAGCCCGCACCACCGGGTGCCCGGGGTGTCTCGGCACCCGATGGCACTGCGTCCTACGAGCACCCTCCCCCCGGCTGGTTCTGCGTGTCCCCTTCGCCGTCCTTGGCGCCGCACACGCGCCCCCTCCTCGTGCCCGGCCCGTCCCAGTCCCTCTGCTTCAGCTCGGAGACCAGACCGCACTGGGCTGGGTGCTTGTGGGCCTCGTCGGTGTCTGCTGGGTGGGATGCCCGGTCTGCCTCCCGCAGCCTCCGGGCAGGGCTGGTCCCGCCAGGTTGGGGCTGAGCTGGGGCTGAGCTGGTTTGGTTCGGCGTCTGGCTGTCAGGTTTGAGGGTTCCCCCGGGAACCCCAGGAGCCCTGGTTTCCTCTTTCTCCGGCGGCTCCGTGTGCTTTGCAGGCGCAGCGCTCTCCGCCGAGGACTCCCGGCCGGGCGTCTGGAGGAAGCTGGCACGGCTGGGTTTCACCGCTGGGAGGGGGCAGCGGTTTCCTCTCGTGCAGGAGCCGGGCCTGAGGCGCGGTGAGGCCCGGCACGTAGGCGGCTCTGCCAGAGACGCCTGCCTTGCAGGAGCCGGCACGGGGCCCCGCGGCAGGAAGTGGAGATTTGTTTTCCTCCGGCAGCGAACGTGACCTCAGGGGCGAGGGCTGGATCCTCAGTGCGCTGCTGCCTTGCAGCGCCGGCGGCTCCCAGAGCTCCTTGCCCGGCCCGGCACCCTGCCCGCCGGCCCGGCACCCTGTCTGCCGGCCCGGCTCTCGTGAGGGCCCGTCGGGTGAGGAGAGCCGGTTGGGCTGGGGATTGGGCCACGTCTCAGCCATCACCAGATCCTCTGTGCCCCCCGGGCCTCCGCCCAGCCCCCTGCGCGGCCCTGGGTGCGTGTGAGAGGCACGTGACACGGTCCCCACGCCTGTGACACGGTCCCCCTGCTGCGCCCAGCACCTGGACAGGTCACTGGTCTGGACCCGCCCCCGCTGGCTGCTTCCCGGGACCGCGATGGGGAGGAAGAGCAGGGACCCTCTTCCCAGTGCCCGGCAGCTGCGGGGCTGTGCACCCTGTGCCAGGCTCCTCCCGGGGGGTGCGGGCGGCTCCGCTGTCTGCCACCGATGGCGGCGATCTGCGGGCTCCATGGCCTGCCCTGCCCGGGCCCGGAGGCCGTGGGGTCTCAGACCCCCCTCAGCGCTCCAGGAAGGTCAGGTGCTGCACGTGCTGTCTTCCTGCAGAACATCGACATCACCAACTTCAGCAGCAGCTGGAACGACGGGCTGGCCTTCTGCGCGCTCCTGCACACGTACCTGCCGGCGCACATCCCCTACCAGGAGCTCAACAGCCAGGACAAGGTGAGGGCGCTCCGGCCGGGATCGGCTGGGCGCGGACCTCTGGCCCCGCCCCCGCTTCAGCCCCTCGTGCCCTTCAGACAGCCTTGAAGGCTCCCACAGGGAGTGCGCTCTGAGCGGGTTTCTTGTTTCTCTGCAGCTTTTGGGGTTGGGGTGGCTGAGGGCTGTGGGTGGGGAGTAGCGAAGAGGGCACAGTGTTGGGCCGACCCCGTGTCGGGGGCCCTGAGCACTCCCTGTGTGTGTGGTGGCACGCGGGGGCCGCCGCCCAGCGCGTGCCAACACGCAGTCTCTCTCGCAGCGAAGGAACTTCACGCTGGCCTTCCAGGCGGCGGAGAGTGTCGGCATCAAGTCCACCCTGGTGAGCCCCCCAGTCCCGCCGGGCCCCTTTCTGTCCGGAAGCGCCCGCTTCTCCTCAGGGGGGTGCCCCCGCGGCAGGGAACGGCACTGACGCCTGGGAGGAGGCGCGCCGGGTATGGGAGGCGGTGATGGACCAGACCAGAGGCCTCGGGCCTGCCCCCGGGAGCCTGAGGCTGTGACGGGCCCAGCGGTGCAGAGCTCTAAGCAGCCTCCCCCCTCTGCCAGGACATCAGCGAGATGGTGCGCACCGAGCGGCCGGACTGGCAGAACGTGATGCTGTACGTGACGGCCATCTACAAGTACTTCGAGACCTGAGCACAGGACGCCCGCACAGGCGCCGCCTCGCCGTTAGCCACACGCCCCACGAAGCTTCAGCCGCTCGGCTGCCCCAGCGTGCGAGCCTTCAGCCCAGGCCCAGGCGGGACCCCTCGGGCCTGGGTGGCCGGGCCTCCCGGCAGGCTCCTCCCCTGGACCTGCCCGTCAGCGGCCAGCGTGGGCTCAGCACACCGCGTGCCACTGGCCGCCGAGCGCCCTCCGAAGAGGATGCTGAGCGCGGTGCTGGGGGGTGACCAGGCTGTGCACGCCGCCCGGAGGTCCCTCTGCCGGTCCCTGCTCCCGGCACCGCCAGGCGCCCGCCGCTCGGCCTGGGCTGGTTTCCGGGGTGTCACCAGCGGGCGCAGGGCGGTCCTGCCAGCGCCACGTTGTTCTCCAACGGCTCCCGCCCTCTGCTGACGTGGAGAAAACCCGTCCTCGGCCTCGAAGGGCGTGGAGACCCAGCTGTGACCTAACAGACCTGATGAAGGAATTCTCTAGATAAAAACGCACTTTTCCCAGGAGCGGTATGGAGGGCCCGCAGCTCCTGCTGAGCCCAGAGTTAAGCGGTTCCTGAGCCGGGAGAGGAACACAAACGGACGTCAGCGGGGCCGGAGCGGAGGGACAGGAGGAGAGACACGAGCGGCCCAGGCTGAGCAGGTGCGCGCCGCCTCGGGGCGGACGGGGAGTGCCTCAGCTCCTGCACGGGCGCCCCACGGGAGCCGCGCCCCAGGCCACAGGCCACAGCGGCCTCGACCCCGCCTTCTGCAGTTTGAACCACAGCCTGCTCCCCGCGGCTGTCCTGTTGGTGTGACTGGGGACTCGGCCCTTCTCGGCACCGGGAGCCGGGTCTCGGGGCAGGGACCAGCGCTGTGGGTGGACGCGCCTGTCTGCGCGGGACAGTGGCACGGGAGGAGCGGCCGCAGAGGGCCGCCGCCGGCCAGAGGCCGGGCCTGACGTGTGTGGCCAGAGAAGATGGTGGCGAAGCCGCTGAGTGCGGCCCGCTGGCTGGTCACTGTGGCTGAGCCTCCTGCCCCGCTGCTGGCCGCTGGCGGGAGGCTTTCTGTGACGCCCCGTTGGGCAAGGAGAGAAGCCGGGGCGCAGAGCCCAGCCCCCCGCACGCAGCCCTGAGCGGACGCCTCTGCCCGCCCTCCCGCCCGCGCTGCTCCTGGTGCTCCGGCAGGCACCGCGGCGGGGCCTCACCGCCCACCCTCCCCTGCCGGGGCCGCGGGCACCGAGTCCGGCCTGCAGCGCGGTTGGCTGTTCACTGCGTTGGAGCCCCTGGCCCAGTGGAAAGAGGAGACTCCTGGGCTGAGGTCACGCCGGGCCGGCAGCCGGGCCTCGCAGGCTCCATGTCTCTGGGGGAGGGCGGTGCCCACGTGGCCAGCCCTGGGGCCGGTGGCAGGGCAGACGGTGGCCAAGAGGAGGGCCCACCTGTCTCGACAACAGACCATGCAGGAGCACGTGGCCGGGCCGCCCACAGCTGCAAGTGGGTCTACAGAAGATTCCAGAAGTGTGACGTTGTGCTTTTTCCAATAGGATCCTTATCACGGGGTGGTTCTGGGTGGTCACACGCCTGAGCGTGACGCTCGGGTGCCGTGGCCCAGCAGCACTTGACAAGAAGCTTCCAGAAAGTCGTTTGCCTCGGTCCCTCCGAGCTTCCGCTGGCGATGCTTTTACTGTGTATTATCGCTCTGAACGTATTAAAGTTGGTGAGACACGCTGTCAGGCTGGGCTGTCCTCGTTCACACCCCCTGCTGCCCTCTGACCTCGCGGGGCGCTGGCACAGGGCCAGGCTGGAGCTGGAAAGGCGGCAGTGCCTCCTGGGACTGGCTGGGGCCCGGGAGGAGCTGGGTAGGTGGCCCCCTGGGTTGCGGTGCACAGCCCCGGCCTTGGCCCATGCCCGGGCCCGAGGTGGGGTCTGGTTTCCCCCGGCGAGTCCTGTGAGATGGGCCCTGGCCTCACAGAACCTAAACAGATTGATGCTTACACCCCTCAGGCATCCAGCCAGTCAGGCCCTTTTCCTCTGCATCTCACCACATGTCACATGTCACACACGTGTGGGCTGCCTCCCGCACTGCACGGGGACCTGGGGCGCCCTTCCTGGACCTGCACCCCCTCCCCAGAGTTGGGTCCATCCGGAGGCCCAAACCCACCACCTGCGTTGGGGGGTCCCGCAGGGCTGCTGAGCCCCCAGGTGGTCTGACTCTGACCACAGGACCTGTGGCCCTGGCTCCACCCCCGCCGGGGCCAGGCCGTGGCTCTGGAGCTCCTGGGCACTGGGCGTGTGCAGGCCCTTCTGCTGGCGGCCCCGCAGGAGTGGACCCAGCGGGCGGCAGCAGAGGGGCAGTGGGGGCAGCACTGGTTGATGCCCCTCGGGTGGGGTGCCCTCCCAAACACCCCTCAAGCAGACGGGGCCTTCTGTCCCTGGCTTCCTGGCCTCAGGCGGTAGTGGTCACCCGGCTCCCAGGAGCCGGCCCCAGGGCTCTGCTTTCTCCAACCTGACACTGCCTGCTTCAGGGCAGCACCTGGGAGGGAATCCTTTTAACCTTGACTTAGGGAAGGTTCTGGAACCTTTTGGGCCATGGCTTTGGAGGGTAAAAGCCAGAAAGGACCCCATGCCCGGTCTGTGGCTGAGGGCTGGGGTCGCCAGCTCTGACCCCGGCCTCACCCGCCGGCCACACAGGGTGCCGCCAGCACCGGGGACAGGTCAGGGCTCTTCCCACCTCTGCGACCTGAAACCAAAACTCCCAGGTAAAGGCAGTGCCTTGCAGCAGTGGTCGGGGCCAGAGCATCCCCCCGGGCGGGGCTGCGGGCGCTGGGGAGTCCCCTCCCGGGGCTGCCTCCGTCTGGACATAACCCGGAGCCCTGTGAGCCCCCACTTCCTCAGTCCCTGAGCCCCAGGAAGTGCCCGGCGCCCTCCCCTTTGGAGAAGCGGGTCAGCACCCACCCGGCTTTGTCCTGGGCCTGGCGGTCCTGGCTGCCCCAGCTGGCCCCGCCGCAAACAATCCGGGGCCGGAGGCCACCAGGTGCATCCTGGGCAGGAACAAAGGCCCAGCGGGGAGGCCTGGGCGGAAGGGTGGGTGCCCACAGCCCTCAGAGCCTGGCCTGGGACCGGGCAGGGACACCCCCGTGTCCACTGAGGGGCAGCAGCCTGGGTCCCACCGTCAGGGCTCCCTCCCGCCTGGGCGGCTGGCCCAGGCCAAGACCCCTGCCCAGGGGCCTCCTTCTGCCCCTCGGGACGGGGCCCGGGACTGGCGAGAGCGTAGCAAGACCAAGGTCAAGGAAGTGACCTCAGGGCTCCGTGCCAGGGTGCAGCCTCTCAAACTCCGGGGTGCACAGCCGAGGGTCCCCCAGGAGCGCCCGGAGCAGGTGTGGGTCAGCCGTGCACAGGACCATGGCGAGGGAGCATGGGAACAGCCCGCCCGGCGCCTGCTTCCTGACGGCTGAGCGGAGGGTCCCCGGGCAGGGGCTGCCCCGAGGCCTGGGCCAGCGGCTGACACAGGAGCGTCAGAGCCGCCCTGCACTGCCCAGCTCTGCTGGGGGAGAAGGCCTGGCTCTCCCGCCTGGCACGCCAGTTCTGGGGCCACTCTGGCGTGAGGACACAGCCCCCCCCCAAGGCCTGGGGGACCCACCCCGATGTGGGGGGGGCTGTCTGCCAGGCCCCGGGAGGGGTCGCTGAGGGCTGAGGCTGGGGGTGGCCGTGGGGGAGGTGGTTGGGTGGTAAGAGCGCTGGGCCCAGGATGGAAATGGCGGGGGACAGCATCACAGGCCCACGCTGGGGTGAGGGACAGAGTGACCCCTGAGGCTGGCTGAGCCTCTGCCCGGGAGTCCCTCCAGCCCCTCCCGGGCCCCGGACACGTGCGCCTCGCCTACGTGCTGAGTTAGGACTTGAATGGCTGTGGGCCCAATGGGGGTGGGGGGGCAGGGGGTTTGTCCCCCGTAGGCGTTTGCCCCACAGGAGTCCAGGGCAGTGGTAGAGAGCAGGGGCCCCCAGCTGGTACCCCTCTCCCCCCTCCCCCCGCCCGGTCTGATGCTGGCTCAGGAGGGGCCGGGCAGAACCACACAGGCAGCCCAGCCAGCACTGGGCAGTGTCCCCCACTGCGGGGGAGGGGTGCTCCCTCACGGGGTGAGCTAGAGCCTGCGAGAGGGGTGGCTCCCGCGGTCCCCCACCCTCCTCGGGGGGGGGGGGCGGGGGGCGGGCGGAGGTAGGTGGAAATGCAGCCGGGACTCCGCAGAGGCCTGGACCAGGGGGGCGGGGGCGGGGCCAGGGCCAGGCTGGAGGGCGGAAGGTGTGTGTGGGGGGGCGTGGGGGGCTCAGGATGGTCCCCATGTGAACGCTGTCAGACGCCTCACCCCACCAGGCCTGTTGGGGCCCTGGCTCCTCCCGGTCTGCCCTCCTCGCCCCTCCCCTGCCTCGGAGGGAGGGCCCCCTGCACATTCACGGAGGGCGACCTGGGCCGCCACGCTGGCTGCATGGGCACAGCCCTGGGGGGAGCCCGGGAGCCGCCCGGGGACCGAGGCTGCCCAGGGTCAGGGCAAGTGGGTGGCACGGGCCAGGCTCCGGCTCCAGATGTGCGGCCAAGCGCCTGCACCCCACTCCCCACCTGCCGGCTCCCCACAGCGGCCGCGCAGAGACACCCCCGGCCTCGGCCCTGGGGCCCAGCTGGCCCGGGCAGGCCCCTCGGCCCCGGACAGGCAGGGCAGCAGCCCCGCAGGCCCGGGCCTGGGCCCCAGCGCCCAGCTGTCTGGTGCATCAGCGCCTCCCAGTCTCCAGATGCGGGGTCAAAGGTCGGTCCCTCGCTGCTGGGCTGGGGCCGGATGTGAGGCTGCTCAGGACTTGAAGTCTCCAGGACGCGGGCCGGGGCTTGGGGGGCACCTCTCCGGGCCCGAGGGGGCGGCGATCCCCGTTCACCTGCAGCAGGAAGTGACCCCAACCTTTGCTCGGGGCCTGGGCCCCAATCCTGGCGGGAAGGGGCAGCGGGAATGGGGGCCGGGGGCAT